CTTCCTTCCTTCCTTCCTTCCTTCCTTCCTTCCTTCCTTCCTTCCTTTTCTAGTTCTCTGCAAAACACACTCCCACCCTACTTGGTTTTACATGTTTAATTCCAGCAATCTTGTTTCTGTGTGATTTAATGTCATCACTCAGGCATCTTCCCAGTCTCCCTTTCACTAAGACTGCTGACTTGCATCAGTACACACCTGCACCTGCAGTATCAGACTGAGAGCATTTAGACATTTTCTGAGCTGAAAACAGGCCTATGAGAAAGTGAAACTTGGCACTAAGGGGGTACATGAAGTGAGTGCCCCATGAGAAACATTTAAAAGGTAGGTAAGGCATAAACTTGGAGCCAATATTTATTCCATTTTAATATGGTTATACGGCAGCTGTCTGACCTCCTCACGTAATTTGCAAATAATCTTGTCAGGACAAATTAGTCCATGCTGAGCCTGGTCTGTTGAGACTAGATGGTTATCGGGACCTGGACTAGCCAATGTTAAGGTAGTTCTGGTATCTCTGCAGTACAGTGGAGTCACAGTGGCAGTGACTGCAGTGCAGGGCTATGCTTTTCTATTAAACAAAATGGTTGCACAAAAAACCTCATCTACAGAAACCCAGAATTAATGGTCTTCCTATCCGGATTCTTTCAAGCCGTTTTTGTTTCAGGGCAGAGTGACGAAAATAAAGATTTTAGCTGCGTTCAAAACTGCATTTCTGAACACTGTGAAGTGGTTTATTCATCTTAATAGAGGTGTTCACTCTGAACCCAAAAAGCTCTTAACTGAGATTTAGCCTGTGGTTTGATCTTGCAGAGTGTTTGTTAGTAGCATTGGTTTGAGATGTTGCTGTCTCCTGGCCCTTCATTTGCACTGCTCTGCTGGCACAAGGACTCTTGTGGTTGGGAACCAGATGGGAGGAGCAAGACAACCTGGCCAAAAAAAAAAAAAAAAAATCTAGTGTGTTTGTTTAAAGCAAGAAAAGTTGCTCAGTCTGGTTCAGTGCCTGGTCATGCAGACAGTTTTACTGGCACAAGTGAGTGGAAAGAGCTCTTTGGCATGGAGTGGAAATGAACAACAGAGGGTGAAAGGTGAGCGGCAATGACTGATTCCTGTAGTGCCACTGTGTACTGTATAATATCAGACCATGGTCTGGCACTTATTGCAACATGTGAAAAATGTTCAAATGCCTTCAAATTGTTAGTCTTAAACCTCAGTGTTAGGTACCTTGGCAGGTGCTTCCAATTTGTGTCCTTATCTCAGTTTCCAGCCATCTTCTGAGACTTTTCCAGCTTCTTGTGTTCCGCAGGTTCAAAACCCCACAGGACACTGGTGTTGAAAGCAGGGGGATTAACAAAGCAATTGGAGTTGAATGACAATGTCAATATTAGCTGTCACTGCAAGAAATGTATTCTTCATTTCCACCATGAGTTTGTATTGTTATCTCAATAGGTCCCATTTTAATATGAACAAAAGCAGGATTCCACGGTGGCTTTCCCAGATCTGGAAGGGCTTGTCATTTAAATCCATTTTTCCATGGAACATAAAGACCATGTGCCATACGCCACATTGAGCCATCTAGATCCGTAGGTAACCTGAAGAAAAGGGTGAGGACCCTGAAAAAAAAAAAATAATAATAATTTTAAAAATCTAACTTTCAAGACACAAGAAAGTGGGAAACTATGTTCCTTGAATGTTTGGTGTATGCTCCCAGAATTTGTCTGATACATAAATAAAAAACCCTGCAGACAAAACGAAAACCAGAACAGTAGAATAGCCAAACAATTTTGTGAAAGAAACGTTGCTTTGTTTAATAAATCCTGAGGGCTCTGGTGAAATTTCTGTTTGCAGATTTGAGTTGAACTTGACAGGAGAAAATCTGTATCTACAAAGTCTGCAGAAAAAATGCCTCCCCTGCCTCCATCCATCCATCTCTCCATTCACAGAACAGAATTCAAAGAGTTTCCCAGCAGCATCTGGCATATGTGCTGAAAGAGAAACTTTAAATATCTCCTGCTATACGTAACTGTATATCCAAATATCATAGTGCTCTAAACAGCTCAAGATCTCAAATCTGCCCACTGATTAACACAACTGATTAATGAAAGTCTAAGAGTGGATTTTGCCCCTGGATTCAGCAGAAAGATCTCTCCATTTCCAACCTGTTCGCTGTGACAAGCTGGCAGCCCCTCTCCCTCTCCATCACTTCGCTGCATCGCCCTATGCAGCAAAAGAGAGGGAGAGAGGAGCTGCTGCTTTCGTTGCTTTGCACGATGTGCAGCTCAAGGGAATCCTGCACAGCAGAGGTTAATGTGACCCACATATAATTGTGTGAAAAGATGCCACTCTGCGCCTTTGTCAAAGAGGCTTCTTGTTACAGCCCAAGCTATCTAGTCCATAGCCCCTTCAGCAAAGCGCAGTTTTCTTACATTAAATCACCACTGCCCTCTTGCCAGCCGCTTAGAGTTTGCACATTATACAGAGGAGATGTACAATATATATTTACATATTTTTAAAATGTGACAGATTGTCTCGTAACATATGTGCTATTGCCTTGAAATGAACTACGTGCATGCGATGGCCAAGCCAGCAGACCCAGTGTGTGTGTGCGCACATGCCTGCCTGTGTGTGGTTTGTATTTTTTTCCTTCTGTTGGAAATGTGAGAGGCTGGGACACTCAGGCTTTTCACGTTGCTTCTCTCTGAAATATTCATGACGAGTTGACGACCTTGATTCTTTGATACCTGCCATTTATTTATGTGCCACTGACGATAACTGCTGCTAAGTACATATGTCACTGACATGGTTGAGTGAGTTGGATGATAAGGAGAGAGGCAGGGCATCTGAGGGATGTGTGCTCTGGAATAAGGTTACTCTAAGAACTCTGAGGGCATTTTAGGAGCCTGCCATGCCATCTTATTCACCTATTTTGTTTTTCTGACTAAAACATATTTTCTTTGCTTATTCTGCAGCTTTTTTTCTCTGACTTGGAATTCTGCTTGTTCACAGCTGCATGGTCGCTGCCTCGTTAATCAAGTGAACTGCTGATGAATTAGTTGATTACTCTTACATTAAAAAAAAAAAAAAAAAAAAAGAGAGAGAGATGTGAGTCTGGGCAGACCCAAGGAATTTCTCTCAAGGGAGAAACAGGTCCTCACTGAAACACATTCTGTGTAGCTGGTCAGGAGCATTTCCATAGTCTGTAAAGGCAAGGATGGCTGAGTGTAGGGCAAAGTAAAATGAAGTGTGGGTGGGCAGGTAAGCAGTAGTACCACATTTAACCATGTAAATGTGAAATACAAGCAGACAAATTTCATTGCTTTTGAGTGTCTTCCATTTATGGAAAGGATTACAACCTGGAAAGCACTGAGCATAAGGATTTGAGGATGGATGGAAATGTGCTAACAGAAAAGGTTATGAAAGTGATGAAATAACTGAACAGTCAGAGGGATTCAGCTTCTGGATGCTGCAGATGGGACTTTGGTGGGTAGATATATTGACAAGCTTTCTCTCCCAAACCATGAAGTGAGGGAAACCAGAGGAGGAAGATGTTGGGGCACAACCTCACTTACAGATTCTCTTCTTACTATATTTCATATGGAAATATGTCTTTTTCTGGGGCTTTCATTTTTTCCCTTTCCAAGTAGCAATAAGCACACGTGTATATTGCAGTTTATATTCTCCTGAAGATAATTTACTTCTCTGTAAGAAAAAAAAAAAATGTGGAAGAAAGAGTACACTAGGGAACAATTGAAATTAAAAAGGCGTCAGAGGCTTCTGCACAAGCTTCTTGAACTGCAGCCGTTCTAGAAAGGCTTGAGATAAAGGTGGCTTAGGGAATGCAGCTGAGTCTAGAGAGGCATTTATTTAAGATTGATATCAAACCTTGGGATTGTGAGTGGGAGGTTTTCTTTGGGAAAGGAACAGGATATTGCCAGGAGGGAGGGAGGCTGAGGAGGATGATTTACTCAAAGAGGTCAGCAGCAGGAAGTGACTGGAGATACGTGATGGTCTAAAACACAGGCCAAGGAACCCGGGAAAGGACACCCTTTTGAGCTTTGAGATTCTGGCTCCTCAAAATGGGGCCAACGAAGTGACTGGGTGGTCTAATTTAGGGTCATCCTTGGTGGTCCTGCATACATGTGTTCTGGTCAGCTTCCTTGTCTGCATGTCTCTGTTCAAAATGTCTCATCCTGCTCTTGGGTCTGTTTCACAGGCTTGCACCATTAAAAAAAATACAACAAAAACCACTGCACTTGGAAGAGAGATTTCAGGCCCTTCTTAGGGCAGGAAGTCATTTTGTGCCTATACAGACACTTTGTACGTGGCAACTACCAAGAGCATAAAATAGTCATGTTTATTGTGATGCTCCCTTCCATCAAGATAGGAAAATTCCCTGTGAAAGCAGAAAATGAAAAGACTGGCAAGAGAAGAGGAGTCACTGCCAGGAGTGACCTTCCAGGCCATAACCAGAATTTGATAATTGAGGTGAATGTAAAGCTTTAACAAGTTTTTAGTCTGAGATCTGCAGTTCCACATCTGTGTAATGGCCCATGTACCTCTAGCAGAACCACTGTAGAAATCTGTGCTTTTTCATACTCATGACTACAAATGAATTATTGAATCTTAGGCACAGCCTCCTTCTATCCAGCCTTCCCCTGACAGTCACTGCTGTGTCTTCTTCTGTCCTCTCATCAGACCTGGTCAAATCTGGATTTCTCTTCTCTCAGGAGCAGTTGTCCTTCCTCGGAATCCACAGTTCAAACTCACAGGATCATAGAAGAGATTTCTCCCTCCCTGGGAAATGAAGTGTGGCTGAGAAAGCCGCCAGTGAGCAGTGTTTGGATGAATGGGAGGATGTCCTTCTACTTAGGAGGACCTTAAATGACTTATCAAAGGTCACAGAGAGAAGTTGGTACAGGACAAAATTTGTGTCCTTTTTATAGGGGTGAATGTCTTGCCAATTTTCCAGTATCTATTAAGTTCACTTTGCAGTTATTTGCAAAATCAGCTCTTTTACAGGTTTTCTGGTGCATTCAAACACTGCTGCAGTGCTTTTTCTTTTGTTCTGCTGATAGTAGCTTTAATTAGATCTACACATAGGGTAGCATCTGAGCATGAAATGCTTTCCTCTCCGGTTCTCCAGCTCTTGGTCCTGTTGTCCCTGCACAGCTTGGTATGTGGTGATGTTCACTTTCCTGCTTACACTCAGTGAATGATTTATCATGTGTTATCAGTAGGACTCTGTACAGTGTCCAGGGACAGTGTTTTCTTCCATCTGGTTCCAAGCTGCTGGAACACCCTTCCATATGGTTTTCACATGTGGTTCTCCTAGTACCTCCTATTTTTCCCCTGTGGACTCATCGTTGTGCAGTTTATATAACAAGTACACTTTGTTTCACTTTATAAATTAATCACATACATGAATCAAAACTTCATCAAGTATTATTTTTAAAATGACAGAGGAAACCTTCACAACTGGGTGAATCTATCTCCTGGAAGAAACATTCAGTCCCACACCATACTGGAAATTAGCTGCTGCAGTATTCTACACCACTCTTCAGGAAGGAATTAGGTTATGGCTTGCTATGGAATAATTATCTTATAATGCGTGGGGAAGTCTTTTACTTCTGCTTTGTATTATGAAGGTGCTGGTTGCAGCATATTTTCATGTAAATCATGAAAGAGACAGTGGTTCACAATAACCTGAGATTGGGTGGTCCAAGAGACAAATTGCTTTATATTGCCAGTCATCTGAGTGATCCAACCTGTAAAATTGCTCCTCTGCTAGAATCAGTTGCTGCTGGGTTTGCTGGTCTTTGCAGATAACTTTTCTCTGTGGTCCTTGTTGATTTTATGCTGTTAGACGCAGTAACAGGCTTTTATCTTATCTGGCTTTTTCCCTTCTTTGCTCACCGTGTTGTTTGCTATTCCAGAATAAATATGCAGACAACCTGCCCCTGGCGGCCAGTGCACTGTGTTCCTCCCAGCACAGCAGCAAATATTTGCACCGCATCAGGCTGAGAGCCATGAGACGTGAGCAGCCACACGATGAGGTGCAGGATGGGAAGCCACAGGGTGCGAAACCAGCACACGGCAGCTGGAACGGTTGGCTTGGAGCACTTAGTAAGGGACTCCTTGGTCTGGGGCAATGAGGACAAGAGGATATGGCATTAGGGGTGTATGTGTGGTACGCCAAGCCAAGTGCTGCTTTCTGGCATTATCTTAATTTTGAGGCTTCTGCATTTCAAAATAGTACATTATGTGCATGCAGTTCTGTGTTTCTGTGGGTTGGAAATATGAGTGGGCATGTTGGTGTACAGGGAGGTGTACACTGCCGGAGGTGAGTGAGGCACTCTGTCTTGAGTTTTCTACCGTTGTATCCTGAATCTATTGAGGATTCAGGCTTTATCCCTTCACAGCAGGCCAACACCTGATGGAACCAGAAAAATGCTTAAGATGGATGGTGGCTTCAGGGCTTTCTATATTGTTTTGTTTCTCATTTGAAGGAAGTAGTTCTTTCCTCCAGCTTGCAAGAGGGAACTCCTTTCCCCATTGCCTGTGCTGTGGTGATATGTTTCAGATGAACACCTGGAAATCCAGCTACTGAGATGACTGACATTTTAGAGCTACTTCTTTTTGCAGAACTGTTTGGATTATCAGCCGTAGTCCACATCCCATCCTTAAGTAGAGAATCTTAAGTGAATGCAGTGATAGTGACTGTCTGGAGAAAAATAAGCCACTGCTAGAGCTAGTGCAGCCCTCATACCCTGGGAGCACATGGTAAGCAGGAATTTCATAAATTCTTGCTTTCTCCTTCCTTGCTAGAACAGGTGAGAAAGCTCTGTTGTGCAGTTCCAAAGAATCTCCAACAAGAATTATGGTGGGTTTTATCTTAGATCTATTCCCTTATTCACTTCATCATGAGATGAATGAAGGTGAGGAGGTGGGAAGGCATACTTGTGCAATTGTAGTGATGTTTTGTGGTGTTGTCATCTCTCTCTGACTGTGGGAACAGGAAAAGAAGAAACACAGGGGTAGGAGATACGAGCCACAACGTATGCTGTATCCCTAATGCCTCGTTTGACTCCCTGGATATCCTCCCATCTCTCTCATCTTACTGGGCTGCTTTGATTTGAAGCCACTGTTGGGTTGGCTGAGAGAGTTGCTTTTTGTTGGTTTGGAGATTCTATTGTTTGCTCACTATTACCTTTTTCCAGTTTGAAGTTTGCCGCCTTCTGGCCTCTGGGCCAGTGACCCCGGTGCCAGTTGTCGGGCCAACATTGCACACGTTGTTATCACCAGGAGGCTACTTCTTTTCCAGCTGGGACTTTGGGTCTGGATTGGATCCACCATGCCAGAAGCTCTGATGGATGGCCTTATTGACAATCAGGTTGACCCTTGTTCAGCAGGCTGACATACTCCATATTTCACGGGTCGGCATTTGATGCGTATCAAAGAGGTGGTCAGGTCATCAGAACAGCCAATTAAAACGATAAAGAGGGAGGAGTGGAAGATGAGGTTTTAACTCTTTCCAACCCATTGTGACTGCCTTTGCCATGTGAAGGTATAGTTTATAGGTATACGGCAAGGAGGGAGACAAAAACAATGATCCACTTACCTAAAAATTTATCTATGGGAACTCTTTAGAAACTGAATAAGCAGGGGTCAGGAAGAAATTAGCTGTCTATGTAGATGTCAGTTACTTAGCATAAGACTGGATCAATGTTATTTTATTTACTTATTTATTTCCTGAACACAATAAAAGTGAAAGTGACCATGAAATTTAACATAGGCTTGTGAATAATTTAGTAATCCATCTCAAATTTGAACACTTCTCAGAAAACAGGGATTTTGTTCTATCACTGTTTTTACCTGAGGGAGAGAAAGGCTCCTATTACAGACATGCTGGTAGCTGACGGGTGAAGGTCATAAATTTAGGAGTTATTTAGTATCAGGTTCTGAAGAATGGTACGAGAAGGACATACCTCTTTACATGAGGATCCTAATGAAGGAGAAGTGCTAGAGCCAGAGATAAGGGGCACCACCGGGATCACAGGTAATAAAAGCCCCATAATCTGTCAACGGTGTTCATACCTGTTCAGGGTCAGTTGTTTCTGTGTTAGTTTTGGGACTGTCTTTTAAGATAAAGCAATCTTTCCCCAAGATGCCAGCAAACATGCAATAGATCCCAAACTTTTTGACCTCCTGGGTTTTAATCCACATTTACATTAAAGTTTCCATGTATGAGTTCTAATGGAAATGCTAACAAAACAGAGCTTGCACAAGTTTTAAGTGTAGAAAGGTTATGGTGCTGAATAGTTTTACTGCATCCTGATTCAGTTCCTGGTTCAGATGCAGAATTTCAGGACCGCATCATCAGCACTGTACTTGAGTTTTTTTGTTTATAAGAGGAGGAGCATCCCTCCTTTTCTCTCATCACATAAAACTGAAATCTATGAAACACTATTTATTATGTATTAAGATTGTAGTTTATATCCAAATAAGTTAAAAAAAATTGGCTTCCTGTCCCCTGCAAAAGAAATTTTTCTGCACACACTCTTCAAGGATCTTCCTTCACCTGCTTGTACTTATTCAGTTTCTGCTTTAATATCATAATCTAACTAATGTAGAGGCATTGAGTCCATTTTCTGACTGTTGGGTAAATGATGGTTAAGTGCCAGGAGCTTTACTTAATTGTCTTGCTATTAAAAAAAAAAAAAAAAGGTAGGTCTACTGAGTGAAAGCTTTTATGCTTTTAAATGAGGTATTGTTGTGATTGGAGTTTAAACAGCAATGATTTCTTCAAAAATGCATTGGCAATAATCACTGGCTTGTTTGATTGTCCACATAACTGTACCACCCTCACTGCCAAGAAACTCATCCGAACCACCAATGATAATAATAGCTATTTTTTTCCATTAAGCATGCAGCAGATAGAATATTCAGGGGCAGGAACATCTTCATTAGGCCGTACGGAAAGTGAACATATTGTTCACAAATCAGCTCAAGAATAATGGACTAGAGAGACTGCAGAGGTGAGGGATGGAGGCTGTGGGGGTGGGAAAGGAGCTCAGAGCTTCATGAACCACATACAGAGAGGATTTTAGTGGCATACGGGCAATTGATTCCCCTAAATGTCCTTGAAGAGGCTGGTATAAAAGTAGAGAAACTCCAGGTGACTCATTTTAATATTGCATAGTTTGTTCGCAATGTCTCATTGATCATTTTACTCTTTTATATTTCTTTAATTAATAAAAAAAAAACAAAAAACAGAGCCAAGGATACAAAACTAATTCACCTGGCTTAATCAAAAACAACAGCACAATGATGACAGGTTTCTGAAGTGAGCTGGTGACCTGCAGGTGAGAAATGTGCTGCTTATGCCCAGGTGTCTCAGATAGTGCTGAACATCCTAGACATCTGCAAAATGCAAAGGCACCAAATTAATTCTTTCTGATTTTATTTTTTTTTTCCATGGAAAATCCATTTCCCAAGTGAATTTTACTTCCCTGCCAGTTCCTGTCTCAGAAATCTGCCCTGTGCCAGGAGCACAGCTCAGGGCTGGTCTCTGCCAGAGCTTTTGCTGTGGGGAGCCTGGCCTTCACTGAACACAGGTGTTCTGGCTGTCCTTCTTTCTTGACATCCTTCCTCTCTTAATTTCACATTAACTACAACATTTTCACTCTAAAAGCCACAGGTGTTCTTGTAGGATTAAGGCTGACACTTGCCCTGAGACTCAAGCAGCAATATCAATTTCCACGTTTTTCTTTGCCATCTCCCATCTGGGAAATCACAGGCAGGGCCAGCAAGGAGATCCAGTTTGTCTCTCTGTCAGCACGCTACACCAGCAAGAGAGAGGCTGCAATTCTCCTTTCTCTTTCTCATTGCCCTCATCAGTCCTAAGTTCCATTTAGCAGTGTTAGCTGGCTGCTCTTCTCAGTTGGACACCGATTACTCCCTGTTGGAGAGCTGTCAGTGAGGGGAAAGCCATACGTCGCAGAGGGAAGTGATCTCACCCAGCAGGGGGGCACCTCTCCCAGCCAAAACAACACAACTCTGACAGGCTTGATGTATTTATTATCTTGTAGGTGCAGAATGCTGCCACAGCAGGCAGCAGGACTGGGGGGAGGATGCTACTGGGGGCTTGGAAGAGAAAGCAAAGGAGAACTACAAAGTGCCAAGGAGCAATCTGGGGGCAGCTGATGGTGGGGTGAGGAGAGTATGAGGGAAAGGAAAACGCTATCATAAAAAAAGCAATTCCTAGTTGCTGTGCTTAATTCATCTCCGAATTCTGTGAAGCCAAAGAGGGCAGAGAAGCAACAAAAATAAACAGCAAATGAAAGAAGAGGCGGGTTACAACCTGCCGAGCCATCTGAGAGTGCCTTTGGAGAGCTGTCACCTTGGTGAGGAGCCCAAATTATGGCCTTTTGTGCTCCTTGTCCCTCTGGGTTTTATGCTGTGTTCTGGAAGGGTTTCATATCAGGGCCTCCTCTCTAGCTCTTTCACCAGCCCTGTTTGGGTCGCTTTGCCTTGTAAAAGCAAAAGACTTGCTTAAGGTCAAAAGCCCGAAGGATGCTTTGACTCTAAGGAGAAACAGTTGGGATATTTCAGGAGCAGAAGTGCATAGTGTCCTGAGGAGCTGTGCTAGCTCATAAGCATAATCACAATCAAAACCAGCCTGACTGTCTGGCTGGAACTCCTGGATAGTAGTTAGGCTTGTGTTTTGAAAGGCATCTAGATTGGATTTGAAGTCCACTTGTTTCACTTTGGTCTTCTGGCCATTCCCTTTCAGAAATCTGGAACTTCCTTAGTTAGAAGTTCCAAGAACATATCCCCATCTTCTATGAGCAGCAATTAAGTAACAATTAGCATTGTACTGAATGCACCAGTGAGGCCTGAGGAGCCTAACCTGGACCTACCAGCACTCCGCTCCCTGGTCCAGAAGCTCCAGTTAGCCCTCATCCTTTAGCCTGGGCCTGTGTTTGGGCTTTCCCTTTGTGTCTCACCCGGAAGATTCACGTTCAACAATCTGTCCTGGGACTCAAACCTTGTTGTTCTGCAAATGAGGTGTGTTACCAGGTGTCTGTGCTGTTTTGAGAAGAGGGAAAAAAGCAACTTGTGCTGATATATATACACGTATAAAAAACTTCACCTTTCTTGGGAACTAAATCCCAGAACTCTAGAATGGCTTTGTGTGACAGCAGTTGTGGTGAAGCTGAACATCATGGATCAGCAAAGAGCTTTTATTTGGTCACGTTTTACTGATAGTTTTCTTTCAAAAAGAAAAAAAAAAAAAAAAAAAGTTCATTTTTATAATGAGCAGCAATGAAACAATAGCTTAAAAAAGATTTCTTTATTTTCTTCCTTGCAAGAGGAATTTTTTTCTATTCTAAATTCATTCAAAATATATCAGCACCAAACTACTTTGAAATCCACAAAAATGGAAAAAGGTTTTAGAACAGATAGAAAAAATAACCGAAGCACTGAGTAGATGGAAGATTTCAACACTGAGTAGATGGACGGTGCAGTGAATGAAAGCAATTTAGTGGAATTCAACAAAATCTCCAAAATAGAAATAAAAGTTGCTGATGTTCAGATAGCAAATATTTTTGGACAAACAGACAAATTTCACTCCTAAAAGGCTAACAGTTGCTGTCTGGTTCTTGAGAACCTCTTGTTCCTTGTGGATGTGTCTGATACAGAGCTGTCTGGTCGCCAGTTACCAGACTCTATTTTGTGAAGCTGTTTCTGCCACGTGGCTCTTTCTCATCTGCCCCTACTGACATGAGACATCAGAAGCAGGAGCAGAAGCTATTCAATCATAGTGACAGAGCCCTTTTTTTGGATGGTAAAATGTTCCATTGATTTCGTATGTCTAATCTCATGTTTGTCTCTGTGCTTGCATACAGTGGCTTTGACGAAATAGAGCACGAAAGGTTGTTCTGTGAGATTCATGCCCCGTTCTGCAGGGCTTGAAGAAAGGAATCCAAAACCTTCTGGCTAGTGAGCAAAGAAAGAATATGCAGCTTGTTGGAACACAGTAGGTATTGCCCTGAATTCTAGTCATTTTGTTATCATGAGGAAAGCTACACAAGCCATCAGATACTTGGTGGTATACGCACCAGGTTGATGAGTAGGAAATCTAAGTGCTGATCTCTACAAATGGCATTTATTGACCCTCCACTGTGAATAACTTCTCAGCTGCACTGTGAGTTAGTGCTGTGGATGTGGCATGGCTTTGGGTGGTGGCATGAAGGACCTGGAGGCTCCTTCCATGGGCTTGAATCTCAAAGGCACTGGCTTGCAAAGTAGCCTGAGCCAAGTCTCTTTCGGCTTTGGGCCTCATTCCATGGCTGCAAATGGGGCTGATAACCAGCCTGGCTGATGACAAGTGTGAAAGGAGAAATAAGTGCTATCATCTGACATTTGTCAGGGTGCAGGATGCTGACCTAGATCTGCACAATCAAACTGTATATAGGCTGCATACTCTAGTTTCATGGGACAGCATGTATGATGAATTAGACTGCCTGGCAATTCTCTGCCATCCACAAAGGCTGTGAGCATTAATACAAGGCAAACACCATCTAATAGTCCCTACTGAAAAGGGAAGATGCACGTCTTTTAAGGCATCAAGTTCCTTGGAGGAATAAAAGGAACTTTACAAGTCCTAAATCTATTGATGGTGTATGTGGCTTTATTTACACTTGTTGTGGCAATGTAATTGCTTCTTTACTTGATTTGGTACTATTTAAATTTCTTGCATCATACTGGCTAAGGATCATAGCAGCAGAGAGTTGAAATATTGATATGCATGAAAAGGTAAATGTACGTATAGGTCTTGTGTCCTTGAAATCCTGTAATATCCTGTTGTTCTGTGGAGCAGCTTGATTTGTATCCTGGTTCAGCTTGGAACAAGGTGCTTGTGTCTGATTTGAAGGATTACAGAATTCCCACTCCCTTGACTTCCTCCCTGTGCTTTTTCCATTCTCCCTTTGTCCCAGGTTTAGAGTAGCCCTCTCTGACTCCTGCACAGGAGCAGCAGGTATCCTAAGGGTTTTTCATGAGGACCCATCCATTCCAGTGGCACTGGCAGTAACAGCACTGCTGTTGTGCCTGTGCTGCATGGGTCAGCCCTCTGGCTGCTGGCAGCCATCTCCTCGAGAAGAGAATGAAATCCAAGTGGCACGGTAGGCACCTCTGAGGAGATAGCTCCTAACTGTTCCCACAGAGCTTGAAAAAAGAGGTTTGACGGATTTACAGAGGAAAATGGCTGAGAAGGGATTGATAAACACACAGAGAGATCTAACTAGTGTGTCCCATCACTCCGAATAGCTGATCATAGCGAAAGTGCTTCAGGGCAGTGTCGGGAAGAATTTGTTGATGTGAACTCGTGTCTCCCTGAGAGAATCATGCTGTTTCGGGGAAGGGACTGTCCAGAGAGGGTTGTCGTAAAGAGGAATGCAACAGTGGGGTGGGCATTTGTCAGGAGGAGCTGGAGAGATGATCACCAGTGCTTTCTGAAGGCAGAGTTGTGAGGATGCCAGCTAGGACTTGATAGCTAAGCTTCCTCACAGCCACAGTGTCAATACAAGCTTCCTTCCCCTTGGTGCCAGTGTTTGCAGCAATAAGCTCTCGATGCCAGCTTGAATTCCAGGCAGCAGAAATTCCCCAGTGCAGCTGGGAATCTCCTGCATCTCCCATGCTTAGACTACACAAACATGACCATCCACAGAGCAGTCAGCTCTCTGTTAAGAGGCTCAACTGATGGTATCTGGACTGTTGTGAACTATCTATTGTAGTGCCCTCAGTGCCAGCAACAGCTCAAGAAAGGAGAGCACACATGCCTTCTTCAGTGGCCTCTGTAAAGATCTATCTGCCAAGGGCCAGGGTGGCTTGGGTCATTTTTAATCAAAGATATAATGGTAATATCAATTGCTATTCAAAAAGTCTGGAAGAGTGTGAGCATCTGAATGGGAGCTGCATTGAGTATAACCTGCCTTATGTGAACAAGTGTACTGAATTTCATTAAATACCTCCTTAAAATACTGCTTTGACTTACTTTGATTCACTTAAAATACCATATGCATCACTGGGGGAGCTTTTTGCAAGAACTGATTCAGGAGGAGAACTTTAACGAGAGTGGCTGTGCATGTAGTTGTTCAGTTACATGGAAAATGCCAGTGCTGAGGGAGGTGAATAATTTTTTAATGTCCAGTTTTACCTTGACATTTGCTTGGGCATGAACTGAGTTGAAAATGCATGTATTGGTCCTGTAAAGTCATGTTGATACCCAGAAGGACATAATGTTTAAAAGGATATTTCAAATAATTTGATTAGTAGATATCTTGTACCTTCTGATTTTCGATTATTCAAGCTATTCTCCATGATAGCTATGGTCAAATTTAATGTTTACTGATTGCCAGCAAGTGAAAAGATCTAAAGCTGCAAAGCATCCAGATGAACATTTCTATTGTGCTTTGAAGCTGAGAACTAGAAAATTATCTGTAAATGTGAGAGAAAATTAGACATACACCAAGATTTCCTTTTCTGAAGCTTTGAGAATATTTGCTTTCCTCTCTTTTTAGGAGCAAGGTTTCTATCTCATTAAAAACTTTTATCCAAAACTCATCTGAATTGAACAGAATGCAGGAATTTGTGTGCGCTGAAGACCTTCTCTAGCTGTTTAGCAGTTGCCACTGAGAGAATGGCAGGTAAAGTGGTCAGTGCATCCTTTGGCTAGGAAAGGCCTCAGCCTTCACTGAATCAATCTTTTGGAACACTGTTTACAAAAGCTTTGGTAAACAAGCTGTGTTTGTGCGTGTCTCTTACACTTTAAGACTAACAAATTGAGATGAACTGCAGCAGATCTGTGAAGGCTGGGCACGCATACACAAGGGCCTGAGTTGATTTATCTTGATGTTTGGTTGAATTCTTTGCATTTTGGGTCCCTTCTGTAACCTTTTCACCTCGTTCTTTTTTAAGGTGGCTGCCTGGCTGTTACAATTTATCATGAACGCATCTCACTTCACTTTTGGCTCCTCTGACGGAAGGAACAGCCGGTCTCTGGGAGGTCAAAGACATTATTTTCCCTTCGTCTTTCTCAGTTTCCAGCACATATTTGTCACTTTGAAAAAGCATGAATTCTGGATTTGATGCACTTTAATTGATTTCACCCTCAACAAGTCCAACTGTCCATCAACCTTCCCTTTTTCTTTCCTTCCCTCCCCTCCCCCTTTTTCATTTCTTTCCTCTGTCCCTTTACTTTGTGAGTGATGTTTTCACCCGCCTGCATGCTGAAGCTGTTGCAAAGCCCATGACCCCATCAAGCCTTACTGTCACTAGCCATTTCTCTCATTTTCCTCATCTTCCAAGTTGAACTTTGGATGTTGAAGGAGAATGAAATCTTATAGGAGCACTGGTCTTGTAGACTCTTAGCAATGTGTTCTTTGTCTGAGTGGCTGCTGGCAGCTAGTTAAATTTGGCTGATAGTCCACTTATAGTCTGCTGTGCAAATTTGAAAGTGAGAGAATTCATGATTAGTCCTCAATAACGATACTGATATTGTACTAAGGCAGAGATAAGATACCATCTTTTCTTTCCTTATGGAAAGATATATACACCCAGCATGACACAGTTATAAATACAGTTGTATAAAATAGTCGATACGCAAATGAGGCACTGTCACAATGTTTCTTGCTTGTTTTGTGAATTCACAAGGCATGAATGGCTTCCCTGGGTCCTATTCAACATAACCTTGGGCACCACCAGGGATGGGGCACCCACACTCCCACACTTGCCTCACAGCCCTCTGAGTAAAGAATTTCCCCCTAACATCTAATTTCAGTCTCTCTTCTTTTAGTTTAGAACTAGTCCTCCTCCTATCGCTATCAGACCACACTAAAAAAAAAAAAAAAAAAAAAAAACCTCCATCTTTTTTATGCGTTCCATTTAATGATAATTCCTTGGACTAACGTGCGCTCACCGGAGGACTGCAGGACTGCAGCACCTCAGGATGAACAGAATTGGTTCCAGGTACTTTTTACAAGTGAATTCATCACCTAGCCGAGGTTAATTAATTAAAAATGGCTGGAAGCTGCCGGGTGCCGGGGCTCCGGGGCGGCCGAGCGCCTCGCCACGGCGCGGGACTGCTGTCCATGGTCCTGCGTGGCTGCGCGGCGCGAGCCGGGGCAAACGGGCGGCTTCGTGGGCAAAAGAACCCGAGTCGTTCCTGCAGATCGAAGGCGGTGCTTGTCAGCATGGAAATGAGTGTTCTGCAAGGAGCTGCAAAGGGTGCTCCATTACTACTCATGGAACTCAAAGGCTTTCTTTCTGTGATTTGCCTCTGAGGGGGCTGTTGGTCCAGCTGTGTGAAGACTTGTACAGTGAAACTGGACTGTTGTATGTTGGATCATCTTCTGAATGTTATCTTAGTGTTCAGAAAAGAAAGCCCTAGACCTTTATATATCAGCGACAGACAGGATTCCTTGCAGGGAAACATGCCCCTGGTTTGGATATTTCAAGTACAAGTGTTTTTGTTCAAATGTTATTGAGACAAAACTTGCTCTTTTTCAATCTATGGGTTACTTTTATCCTTACATTAGCAAAAATTCTTCCTATCTTGAGGTGATGGTGACTTTATTTTTCCTTTCATTGAGATGCGAATATTTTCTTTTTAAGGAATTTTCTAGTGTCCAGAGCTATGATGCGATAGAAGCTTAAAAAATTGTTCTGTGCTTGTATAGTCTGCTGTTACTACCTTCTTGGTAATGCTGGGAGATCAGGGGCTAAGAGTATAAGATACATTAATATGACATACAAATGTTTCAAAGGCTATCCAGGGATTTAATTTCTTGGGAGTGGGTGCTATCCTTTTTCTGTTATGCATAGTGCTATGCTTGGGGTAAGAACACACAGAAGGAAGAACTTAGTTTTAATGGGTTCTTTGCAGATTTTCAGCTCCTATGGGCACCATACTTGTGAGATGAACTGAACTGCCAGTTTACTGTACTCTGAAGAGTCTTTTCTATGGTTTTTAATTCCAGCTAAGAGTTCTAAGAGATGTTGATGTTACTTAAGATTTCTCATGTATTAGAGAGCTTGAGAATTTTTCTGGCAGTTTCTATTCAGAAAACAAAAACAAACACCCTTGCTTTATGTCTTTTCAGGACTTCCTCTAGAAGTTGTCCTACTGAAGAACAAATTGAAGTCGCTTCTCACTGATGAAATCATTTTTATTGTGTCTAGAGAAATTATAGAGGGAAACAAAGATCTTCTCAAGTTACTGGCCTGCAGCATTCTCTTCTCTGTTCTAAAAGAACTGGAAAAAAGATATGGTAATGCTGTTGTAGCGTAGGATGAAAAAATATACAAAATATACAGGATCAACCAGATTCCCTTCTTGGCTTTTTTTGCAGCTATAACCAGCTGGGCAGTGGTATGTGTTAGCTCATTAGATTGGTCAAACCCTGCATCTGTGCACTGCTCAAGAACTAATGAAAATTTCACGCCCAAGTAAGATCCGTCATATGTGGACGCACATGATACTGGCTGTCTGCAAAGCTTGGCTCCAGAGATGGGGAGAGCTGTCACCAAGGCAGGTTTTTCACACATTGCTTGAAACAACATCCAAAAGATTTTAACAGGGTTTTGTTTCTTTGTTTGTTTGTTTTGTGGCAGACTAAAGACAGGTTCTCTTGTTATTGTTTACTGGTAACAAGAATTTATTTCTGTGGAGTCACAACAGCGACCAAGACATCTGCTTCGTTTTACCTTCTAATTCTATCATATAACTTAGCCAAATTATGCAGTAGGTCTTCAGATTCATTTAGCAGTTCATTTATTGAGTCGCTTAGTGTCTTCAGTAAAGCACTTTTTATTCACAAGCACCCAGAAATAATTGCTGTCTTCCAATGCGCTGTGAATGTTACCTTTCTTAGCATTTTAAAGAGAGGCACTCAGAGATGAAGTGTCTTCAAAATCATCTTGCAGGACAGCTTCAAATTCAGGATTGGAAGTCCAGTCTCATACTGTAATACCTAGTTTACATGCCTGCCTAAGGGGTTGCAGCACCTGATGTAGATGCTTGTCCAAAGAAAATGGCATGTAGGTGCCCAGGCAGATTGTAGAATTAACTGAGAGCTGGATGCATCCATAAGCATCATGGTGTGGTCCTCTGCTGAGCTGGGAATCTTGTAAGAGCACTTTAGCTGCTCAGGAACTGTGGATGGCTGTCTGGATCTGCACTGCAGCAGAAAAAGGGATTATGTCTGTAATTTGCATATCCAGAAGGGCTTCTACACAGCTGCATGGGAGGGTATTTCATGCTGAAATAGGTGTTTATGAGATCTGGGTCCTTCTGAAATAGGAAATACTTGAGAGTGGATATTCTGGGTGTTTGAACAAAGTCATGCTTTAGGTACCTGATCAGGTGATCTGAATCCTGCTGCAAGTCTCTCAAACCCTAGGCCAGCGCTTCCTCCAGTACAGTAGCCTTCCCAGTTTCATTTTACAGTCAGTAAGTTGGGCTATTATCTTATGTAAAGCCAAAAATTGCACAGTCTATATCTGTATTTATGTCTCTGTATATCTAATATATATCTATATTTAGCAGAGCCCTGCTAAACTAGTTGGAAGCTTTCCAAACCATGCACAAAGTCAGTCTCTTGTCTTTTCTGTCAGGAAAGGAACAGTCTAGGGAAAGTATTGTGCTAAGTTCAGGTTGGTTGGCCTGGCAGTGCTGGAATTGGTAATATCATAAATACAGCCTTTTCAGTCTCTGGATGTACATAAGCAAAGAGGTCAAGAGGCCAACAATAGCACTCCATAGGGGTTGTTTGAAGAGGCTTTTTAATAATTGTGAATGTTCAGGTAACATAAGACTTGTTTTAAAATGCGGACTCAGATTTGTTGCTTGGATGAGATATAAACTAAGATTTGATCATATTTAAAAGTCAATCCATTTCAAGTCTAGTGTTCAGAGCATCTTTCATCTTTAAGAATTGCTTTACATGCTGGTAGGCTTAGAGTTTTTAACCATATTCTGTGAGTTGCCAACCATTGTGTAAGAGGCATGAAGTATCTCTTGTTGCTTGTCTCTTGAACAGACGCCTTCCTTTTCCCTACCCAAATCCAGAAGACAAAAATGTGTTGTGAATTTACCCACGTGATTTCAAGAAAGGATACACCACCCACTTTTGGCAAAGTTGTGGAAGCATTCACACTGCCTATTTTAATAGTCAGATGGAGGAAAAGAAGTCTTGAAAAGGAGAAGCAGAACAGTTACATTAGGCACTTGATGATAATTTCAATCTGAAGGGCTCTGAATTCCCCTCTGAAATCTTTTTCTCTTGGGAGTCTTAGTTCCTAAGTTAATTGGCTAATTAGTGTGTGTTCACACCACAAATCAGCCCAGCAAGGCAAACTCAGAAGAGCTAATGCTGCTCACTTGCTGTCAATGGAAGCTGGGGATCTCAGGATCTTGTAGAGGCACTTGCCTCCCCTGGATGTCTGGGAATTAGGGTGTTGTTACTAGAACGCTGGAGAATTTACAGTGAAGAGGGAAGGAAACAGCACCAAAAAATCTTCCTTCACTAACTGGTGCCTGTGTCATCATCTCTCTAAAGAGAATTTATTTCTCTTGTTCTTTTCCTGTTCCAACTAATAACTTTCTTGGGGGTGGAGAGAGCTGGAATTGACTGAAGGTGCCCCAAACTGAGAGATGTTCAGCACCCAGCTGATCCCTGATCTCCCTTGCAGGTAAAAAGTTGGACAACTTGTAGGCTGAACACGCCAGATGAGGAAGAGAAGGGTATGGCCTGGAGAGAGTTAGAGTTACAAAGCCAGCAACTGTTGGTGTGTTGGCTGAAGTGCTCTGCCATAGCCTCTGCAGTCAGGGCTGGCTTCAGGGAAGCCCAGGGGAATGGCCTTGGGTCATCAGATAGAATTTATGGGGGGCTATAGAAGTAAGCATGAATACAGAGATCTTGTGGAGAATGAGTCCTACATAGGAATGAAATCCATCTGTGAGTTTGGTGGGGATTTTTTGTGTATTCAGTATTCTTATCTCAGGGCCTGCACTGGAATAAGTCACCTCTGAGTAATAGAAGGGAGAGTCTAAAAGTCCTTCCTCTGATAATTTTTGATGTCCCATTCATATCCTTTTCTATCTGTCTCAAACTTTACTCTTCTTGCTATTCAGCATCATGAGGCACCACAAAACATTACAACCAGGAGTCCTCTGGAGACAAGTGTATTGTTGTGCCCAGCTTCCATGGAAGAGCAAGAAAGCTTGAGCAATGGCACCTCTTCTGCATTCAGCTGTGAGCATTTGCCCCAAATGCCTTCTGTCATTTTGGAAGACCCCATCCTTTTTGCTTTAATTGATTCTGTCTGGCTTTAATTTGATGTGAGAATAGACCTCCCACTGTGAGCTCTCAAGAGTGCTTTGTGTAAGGGAACTTGCAGGCTGGGTGTAGCTGTGACCAGGGACAGGATTATTTTATTGGAATAGGTAGACAAGGGCATTTTGGTTAGGTCCACTGAATTCTTAAAGTCCTTTACCAATTGAAACGAGGCTTTTTACTTCCTTAGTGGGTTGTGGGAAGTGCTTGTACAACAACTTGAAAGCAAACCACTAAAATAACAATTTATTCTTAAAGCCACACGTGGGATTTCACAAAGACATCCAGAGTCCTATTGCATTGGTTTCCTGTAAGTAAGAAGCGGGAGATGATCTAGAAGGACTGGGACTCTGAAGGTTCAAGGAAGGGATTTGGAGGCAAGGAGAAGGGAGCGTATTTGGCTGCCATCACCAAACAGAATGATGGCAGGGATGAGGGTAAACAGGGGAAGTTGAAAAGCAAACATCCATGTGAGTCTGGTCAGCTAAAGTCTAAACAGCTCTTGAGTTTGTCTTATCAAATCAAAATATTTTGGTTCAGTAGTGTGTTGCCTTGAGTCAGTGTTTGTCTATGGTGACGTGGAGTTGTAGAAACACCCAAATTGGAGGGTGATGCATCCCCTGCTACTGGAGCTGGGATCTCTGCTGTCTGCTAAGGCCTAAGAGAGGAGCACATTGCTTTTTAGGTCAAGGAAAGGCTGCATGAGAGCAATCCTATGTCTTGGTTTCAGATTCTTCAGATGCTTTAAGGCATCTTCAGAGCTGCAGTGCCTTGTTCAGTGTGATTAAGTGTGCTGCTGCTTGGACCGCAAATAAGGGTTTTAAGTCAAATGGGAAGATTTTTGAGGGAAAACAGATGAAAAAGTATTCAGAGTTAATTATGAGAATTGTTGAAATGGCTTGAGTAATAAAAAATAGATATGTACTCACTTATTCATCTCATGCTATTAGCGGTCTGTGCTTCTGCATCAAGTGATAGTGGGCTGGGAAAGGTTGGAGTGTTTAGGAGACCCTGTGAAACACAAAATCACTGCCTGCACAAAACCTGATGTCACTGAAAGTCCAGTCTTTGAAGATGCAACCTGGTGATCTTCCAAAATTGTATTTCACAAAGACATTGAGGTTAGGGTGAGGTGCTAAGCACAAAACAACTGGAAAATGTACACCTTAGGCTAGAGTAGGACCCTGTATGTCTCCAAAACCCACCCACATCTCTCCCAGACTATTCCTAGTGGTAGCTTAGACCTTACTGGTTTTTTGCAAACAGTTTTGTTCCTATCTGCTGATTTTGTTCATCACTTCATAGAAATTGTATACAAGAATACCATGTATATGCTTTCACTAGAAATACTTCTTTTTTCCTTCCCTGTGTCAGAAACCCTGTATTTTTTAACTTATTCTTTAGCCATTCCACCTGATCACTCAGTATTTCCATGTTTCAAGGAGATTTATCTGAATGGCATGTTTCCATGGCTGATATGCAGCAATAATGCAGGGTTAATACCTAATTAGTTCCCAGGGACATTGAGCTTTTCATGGATATTCAGTAACAAAAGAAACAACAAACAAGCTGAATTCCTGGGTCTTAATTCATTTGGGAGAAGGAAACAGGAACCTAAAAATGCAGGAATTATTCAATGCAGTCCAAGCTTAGTCCATTCTCTCATGGAGCTCAGAAGATGCTATAGCAGCTGACAGGGAAAATATAACCTCCCTCCCTCCCTTCAGGGACTGTGTATGTGTCTGTGTTTGCAGCCCTGACATCTCCAAAGAGGAACATTCCCAGTTCTGCCACTCTTTAAATAGCTCCTTGCCCGTTCCCCTGCCTGCTGCAGCCCCCAGCCAACCTGATCCCATTTTCTGACATTCAGCCATACCTGATCAATTGTATCCTGAGCAGCTAGAGATGATCGGAGCTGGCCTTCCACCTCGCAGGATGGCGAGCATATGGGCCTGCAGGCTCCAGCCATTATGTTCCTGAGCACTGAGCTTGTCTGCCTGTGGCTACAGAGGGTTTTTTCCCCTCTCAAGCAATCGCAAATAAACCTTTCTGATAACTAAAAGGAAAACAAACAGGCCCTTTGGCTCTGTAGGCACTGAGAAGGAGAGGAAAACAAAAAACAACAACAAAATCTGTGCTATGCTTAGGCAGCACGCAGATTCAGAGGGCCCTCAGGAAGGAGGAATTGTCTGCCCTCAGCCAGAGATGGGGCTTTTCTCTGAGCAGAAAGGGCTCATTTCAGGAGGGTTAGCCCTTGGTGCTGTACAGCCAGAAGTGGAGTGGGAGCTGCAGAGGTGAGAGGAAGTTTGGCTCAGAGGGATCCATCATCTAGATGAAAAAAAATTGAGTCTTTGAACTGCCCACTGTAGGCACTCTAGTGTTAGACTTGAAGTCTTAAGGGTCTGAAGGCTGAAATTAGCCTTGTGAGGGTAATTAGCCATTGGAACCGGCAGCAAGGGCAGAGCAGGACAGGATGGTAGAACCATAGAATCATAGAATATCCAGAGTTGGAAGGATCATCAAATCCAACTCCTGGTTCCACACAGGACCACCTATAAATCAGACTATATGTCTGAAAGCACTGTCCAGACACTTCTCGAAACCTTGGCAAGCTCGGTGCTGTGACCATTTCCCTAGGAAGCCTGTGCCAGTGCCCAACTACCCTCTGGTGAAGAATTTTTTCTTGATATCCAGCCTGACCCTTCCCTGGCACAGCTCCATGCTGTTCCCTCAGGTTCTATCACTTGTCACTAGGGGGAGGAGATCAGCATTTGCCCCTCTGCTCCCCCCCCACGAGGAATCCACAGGCCGCCATGAGGTCTCCCCTTAGTCTCCTCTTCTCTATGCTGAACAAACCAAGGGACTTCAATCATTCCTTCAGACCCTTCATCATCTTTGCAGACCTCCTTTGGATGTTCTTTAGTAGTTTTATGTCCTTTTTGTACTGTGGCACACAGAACTGCTCACATGACTCAGGGTGGGGCCACACCAATGCAGTGTAGAGAGCGATAATCACTTCTCTGACACAACTGGCAATGCCATGCTTGATGCATCTCAGGATACGGTAGGCCTTCCTGGCTGCCTGGGTACACTCATGTTCAACTTGCTGTTCACCAAAACTGCCAGATTGCTTTCAAGGGGGCTGCTTCAGTGTCTCACCCACCAGTCTGTGTGTATAGCCAAAGTTTGTCCTTCCAAGGTGCAGAATCCATTACTTTCTCTTGTGGCCACCTTTCATGTGGCTGGTGATTGCCCAGCTCTGTAATTTGTCTAGCCCCTGCAGGCTGGGGGACATCTGCCAACAGCACAGAGGCATGCTGCCACGCCAAGTGAACTGAAAAGCTGCTTGCTAATGCAACACCTCTTAGAGCAAGACTCCATATACTGGGTAGATCTACAGTTTCTTAGGGTTACTCAACTGAAGTGCACTCCCAGCTGGCAACAAAGCTCTTTCCCTAAGACAATAAATGATGGGCTTTTTCAACTTGAAGTCAGAGTCATGAAGAGCCTTTGAAACCTTTGCCTCAGCAGATACGGCCAAGGTTATCAACTTGGCACGTCTTCAGTGAACTTGGATGCTATCTTGAAATGCTGCCAGACTGCAATGCACTCGTGCTAAAATGCTGAAACCACAGAAAGGGACCCCTGACCCTGTCACCTTGCTCTCCTCCTGCCTGCAAAGAGCCAGAGCACTAACGTTATCATGAAGGTACAACAGCTGGTACCAGGTATGAGTTCTGCTACTGCCAAGGTGTCTTCTCTGAAGTGTTCGATGGGAATCACTCCTATAGAGTGAAGTAGTTCTGTTCCCTAAACATTTGAACTGTAGAAATGAGTAGGAAATCCATGTGGAAAATTCAGAAGGGGAAAATGAGAGCATAAACCATGGGATCAGCACCCACTGGGCCAAACAGTTGCTTCCCAAGAAACTCCATTGAAGCAATAATATTAATTGCCAATTTATGCCAGCATCTCCAAGAGTCGCTCTTGGGACACAGCCAGTTCTGGTAGAGGATTAATCTTGCTGAGAAACTCCCTCTTGCCCATTGCTCCGTCTCTGACACACTCACACATGCAGAAAAAACAAATGTTGGTGACCCTCCGACAACCCAGTTAGCTAGCGGGGAATTAAGGGACATGAAACTCTAGCTTCCCCTTCAGCACAGCCCTGCATCTGCCACAGCCAATTCAGAAGGCAGGACTAGCCACCTGCTAGTTGTTTTGCTCAGAGAGAAAACGTCTATTGGACACATAGGAAACGACTAATTCAGTCCCCTGGGACGGACCAGCAATTTGTCATTCTCACTGTCTCCAGTACAGGTACTCAGCCCCTTTTAGGACTATGACGCTATGGGGTTTTTTTTTCTGGTTATTTTTCCACCTGGCAGTAGTTCTGTATTTTGTTTTTGTCTAATGTAGCATTTCTCAGCTATTGACATTTGACCATCCAATTCCGGGCAACAAAGAATACATTGTGCCCCATTCGCACACAGGAATCCCCATCCCTTCATCTTGGCTTAAAAACAAATTAATAGAGAAAAATGTGTATTGTGTAAGCTGGAAAGCACAGTCATTGTTTGTGCAGTGTCTGACTTTTGAGAAGCATGGGTCTTCTCTATTTACTGCTTTGGAATCTGTGTGTTTCAAGGACAGGTCAGTGCCTCTTCATCCTACCACTTCCCTAGTGCCATTGCACTCTGTATGCCACTGCAGTGTGATTTGACTCAAATTTTTTGCACTAGGGGTTCCACGTAAGTTTCCCCAGAGTTGGTCTCAGTATCAGAAGGGACAGTTTAATGGCCTCAAGAAACAGGCTAGGAATTTTCCTTGGGAACAGCAGGCTCAGATCTACAGCTTGCTCAGTCTTTCCCCCTTCTGAGGACAATAAATTGAATAACATGCAGTTTACTGCGTACCCACAAGAGAAGTTGTGGAGGAGAACCCAAGGCCGGCCACTCAGCGGGTGCAAATCAGTATGCCTTTGCTAGCTTACACCAGCTGTAGAGTTGGCCCCAAGGTTTTTGTGTTCACATTATCCTGGGGCTCATATTGCAAGAATGCAGGGCTGGCCAGATGTGCTGGCTGCTGTGCTCCTTTTCCTCCATGACTGACAGGGTACCAGGGGACAGGGAGCTGCCACTCCCTCCCCTTGAAGCAGCCAGGTTGGAGCTGCATGTATGAAGTCTGGAAGTTGCTTTGGGATCTTTGGGAATGGCTACAGCACGTAAATGTGGTTACAGGATGTATCAACAGAGTAGCAGAGGAAGTTTTCCCCTTGGAAGTGGTGTTCATCTCCTCCCCCAACCCAGCATATGGAATTCTGGATCACATTTCTCTCTCTTGCCAATAAATATTGCAGATTTATTGCTCTATACCTGGTGGGTAGTAAATTGCATTCCACCTCTGTTATAAGGCTCTTTGCTATGACATAGCCTTGCAGCTCCATTAAACCTTAATTACAGCAACACTTCATTGGGTTGCTGCGATGGTCTGAGTGCCATTGCAGTGGAGAGGATGTATGGCCAAAACAGGCTGACGCAGAGACGCTTTGTTTTGTTTTGTTTCCTCCCTTTTTAAGGATTATGGAGAGTTGAGCCCAGCAAGGGGAATAGATGGAGAGCCCCTCACGCTCTGCTCATTTTCCACAACAGCTGGCTTCACCTGCCACAGTCCCTGTAGCTCTTCAGTCCCTGGCTGAGTGCTCAGCAGTGTTCAAAGTTGCCTTCTTTAGGTGACTTATTCGTGTCTGTACTTCTGATCGGCATCCCAGGTTCAGTGTTATCTTTGTTTGAAAGCAAGAGGAGTGCAGGGCTTGGATTTCTAGAGTGTAGCAAGACAAATTTAAGAGTCAGTGACTGAGATCACTCTTAGCAGACGGATTGTTTTGTGTCAGCTGAAGGCATTATTTCTGGTGCCATCCTTGCCCACCTACCAATATTCATCCCTGCAGCCTGTGGCTTTGGACATCAAACTGGGCCTTTGTGGACCCCTGGCCCTCATAGACTTGCACTCAGTGCTAGCATGCATTGCACAGACAGCCCTCCTTGGACCAGCGTTCATGTCTTCCGGCTCTGTGATGAGCTAACCAGACCACTAATCACTGTGCCAGCCTCTTGGATCCACTGCACCACCTCACAGGTGAGTGCTGTCATCGGATCCGTCCAAGAGGGAGACTGCTTGGTTCCAATTGGAAATGATTTGCTGCCTGAGTTGTACTGGTACGTTGTCAAGTGGTACAGATGGTGTAGATATGACCATAACTGAAGCTGCTCCAGTTTAATTTTGGGACTATCTGCTGTTAGCATAATGCTCTCACTTTCGTAATGAGTTTGACTTTTGTGGTCATACTAATGCTTCATAAGTCCACTTGTATGAGTGAGAATACTTCTATTACTGTGTTTTACCACATCCATAACTTTATCTACCCAAATATCTATATATCATTTATATTCAGGTACCCAAAAATGTTTGTAGGTAGACAGCATGGAGATCTTCTACCCCACTGCTATAGCAAAAAACTACCAGAAAGCAACTAAAATCTTTCTACAAATTTAGTTGCTGTGCTCTTTAAAGAGTAACTAACACATGAAGGATACTTTTCTGTGGAGAGTCTATTACAGAGCCTTGTTTGTCCTCATTCTCCCCTCCTTCAGCAACCTTGAGATGTCAGACATAGGAAATGTGGCCACAGCTGTTTATGCACTTAGGAGGTTTTTTTTCCAAGGCCGCATCCTTCTATTCTGTAGATTATTTGAAAAGATGCTACAGGGACTCCAGAAAGCCAAGGTCTGTGTGCCATGTGCAGGTGTTGCCAGGAGATTGACATTTTGAACATTTGAAAACTATCAGAGAACTGATTTGGTGCTAGATTTTTTTCCTCTCCTCCCTCCTTCCCACTTAAAGTGTATGTCAGAAGACTTCTGCTGTAGATTGATATTCCTAACAGGTCCATGTTGCTCAAGTAACGGTCACACACGATAGCACATAGTAGGAGGAACATAGTTAGCACATCACACGCAGCTAGGAAAGAGTTCAGCT